TCATCCAGACACTGACCCTTCCCCAGTCAACCTCCGTCCATCACCCAGACACTGTCCCTTCCCCAATCTACCTCCATCCATCACCCAGACACTGACCCTTCCCAGTCTACCTCTGTCCATCACCCAGACACTGACCCTTCCCAGTCTACCTCTGTCCATCACCCAGACACTGACCCTTCCCAATCTACCTCCATCCATCATCCAGACGCTGACCCTTCCCCAGTCTACCTCCATCCATCATCCAGACGCTGACCCTTCCCCAATCTACCTCCGTCCATCACCCAGACACTGACCCTTCCCAGTCTACCTCCACCCATCACCCAGACACTGACCCTTCCCAGTCTACCTCTGTCCATCACCCAGACACTGACCCTTCCCAGTCTACCTCCACCCATCACCCAGACACTGACCCTTCCCAGTCTACCTCTGTCCATCACCCAGACACTGACCCTTCCCAGTCTACCTCTGTCCATCACCCAGACACTGACCCTTCCCAGTCTACCTCCGTCCATCACCCAGACACTGACCTTTCCCAAATCTACCTCTGTCCATCACCCAGACACTGACCCTTCCCAATCTACCTCTGTCCATCACCCAGACACTGACCCTTCCCCAATCTACCTCTGTCCATCACCCAGACACTGACCCTTCCCCAATCTACCTCCGTCCATCACCCAGACACTGACCCTTCCCAATCTAACCTCCGTCCATCACCCAGACACTGACCCTTCCCCAATCATCATCCAGACACTGACCCTTCCCAGTCTACCTCCATCCATCATCCAGACACTAACCCTTCCCCAATCTACCTCCGTTCATCATCCAGACACTGACCCTTCCCCAATCTACCTCCATCCATCACCCAGACACTGTCCCTTCCCCAATCTACCTCCATTCATCATCCAGACACTGACCCTTCCCCAATCTACCTCCACCATCACCCAGACACTGACCCTTCCCAGTCTACCTCTGTCCATCACCCAGACACTGACCCTTCCCCAATCTACCTCCACCCATCACCCAGACACTGACCTTTCCCAATCTACCTCCGTCCATCACCCAGACACTGACCCTTCCCCAATCTACCTCCACCCATCACCCAGACACTGACCTTTCCCAATCTACCTCCGTCCATCACCCAGACACTGGCCCTTCCCAGTCTACCTCCGTCCATCACCCAGACACTGACCTTTCCCAGTCTACCTCCTTCCATCACCCAGACACTGACCCTTCCCAGTCTACCTCCATCCATCACCCAGACACTGGCCCTTCCCAATCTACCTCCATCCATCACCCAGACACTGACCCTTCCCCAATCTACCTCCGTCCATCACCCAGACACTGACCCTTCCCAGTCTAACTCCGTCCATCACCCAGACACTGACCCTTCCCAGTCTAACTCCGTCCATCACCCAGACACTGACCCTTCCCAGTCTACCTCCGTCCATCACCCAGACACTGACCCTTCCCCAATCTACCTCCATCCATCACCCAGACACTGACCCTTCCCAGTCTACCTCCGTCCATCACCCAGACACTGACCCTTCCCAGTCTACCTCCGTCCATCACCCAGACACTGACCCTTCCCAATCTACCTCCGTCCATCACCCAGACACTGACCCTTCCCAGTCTATCTCCGTCCATCACCCAGACACTGACCCTTCCCCAATCTACCTCTGTCCATCACCCAGACACTGACCCTTCCCAGTCTACCTCTGTCCATCACCCAGACACTGACCCTTCCCCAATCTACCTCCAACCATCACCCAGACACTGACCCTTCCCCAATCTACTTCCATCCATCACCCAGACACTGACCCTTCCCCAATCTACCTCCATCCATCACCCAGACACTGACCCTTCCCCAATCTACCTCCATCCATCACCCAGACACTGACCCTTCCCAGTCTACCTCTGTCCATCACCCAGACACTGACCCTTCCCAATCTACCTCCTGTCCATCACCCAGACACTGACCCTTCCCAGTCTACCCAATCCATCACCCAGACACTGACCTTCCAATCTACCTCTGTCCATCACCCAGACACTGACCCTTCCCCAATCTACCTCTGTCCATCACCCAGACACTGACCCTTCCCAGTCTACCTCCGTCCATCACCCAGACACTGACCCTTCCCAGTCTACTCCTGTCCATCACCCAGACACTGACCCTTCCCAATCTACCTCCGTCCATCACCCAGACACTGACCCTTCCCCAATCTACCTCTGTCCATCACCCAGACACTGACCCTCCCAGTCTACCTCCGTCCATCACCCAGACATCTGACCTTCCCCATCCATCCATCACCCAGACACTGCCCTTGACTCCTTCCATCCCAGACACTAACCCTTCCCCAATCTACCTCCATCCATTATCCAGACACTGACCCTTCCCCAGTCTACCTCCATCCATCATCCAGACGCTGACCCTTGACCCTACCTCCATCCATCATCCAGACTGACCCTTCCCAGTCTACCTCCATCCATCATCCAGACACTGACCCTTCCCAGTCTACCTCTGTCCATCACCCAGACACTGACCCTTCCCAGTCTACCTCTGTCCATCACCCAGACACTGACCCTTCCCAGTCTACCTCTGTCCATCACCCAGACACTGACCCTTCCCCAATCTACCTCCGTCCATCATCCAGACACTGACCCTTCCCCAGTCAACCTCCGTCCATCACCCAGACACTGTCCCTTCCCCAATCTACCTCCATCCATCACCCAGACACTGACCCTTCCCAGTCTACCTCTGTCCATCACCCAGACACTGACCCTTCCCAGTCTACCTCTGTCCATCACCCAGACACTGACCCTTCCCCAATCTACCTCCATCCATCATCCAGACGCTGACCCTTCCCCAGTCTACCTCCATCCATCATCCAGACGCTGACCCTTCCCCAATCTACCTCCGTCCATCACCCAGACACTGACCCTTCCCAGTCTACCTCCACCATCACCCAGACACTGACCCTCCCAGTCTACCTCTCCATCACCCAGTCTGACCTCTGTCCATCACCCAGACACTGACCTTCCCAGTCTACCTCTGTCCATCACCCAGACACTGACCCTTCCCAGTCTACCTCCACCCATCACCCAGACACTGACCCTTCCCACCTCTGTCCATCACCCAGACACTGACCCTTCCAGTCTACCTCCGTCCATCACCCAGACACTGACCTTTCCCAAATCTACCTCTGTCCATCACCCAGACACTGACCCTTCCCAATCTACCTCTGTCCATCACCCAGACACTGACCCTTCCCCAATCTACCTCTGTCCATCACCCAGACACTGACCCTTCCCCAATCTACCTCCGTCCATCACCCAGACACTGACCCTTCCCCAATCTACCTCTGTCCATCATCCAGACACTGACCCTTCCCAGTCTACCTCCATCCATCATCCAGACACTAACCCTTCCCCAATCTACCTCTGTTCATCATCCAGACACTGACCCTTCCCCAATCTACCTCCATCCATCACCCAGACACTGTCCCTTCCCCAATCTACCTCCATTCATCATCCAGACACTGACCCTTCCCCAATCTACCTCCATCCAGCGCCCAGACACTGATCCTTCCCAGTCTACCTCCATTCATCATCCAGCCATACTTCCCAATCAACATTGATGAAATGTAATAAGTAACTATTTAACTATTTCAGGTACTTATATAGCGCCATCAATTTACACAGCACTTTACATATATATTGTACATTCCATCAGTCCCTAACCCTCAAGGGGCGTACAATCTAAGGTCCATAACTCACATTCATACATACACATACTAGGGACAATTTAGACAGCATGTCTTTGGAGTGTGGGAGGAAACTGGAGGAAACCCACACTGGCAGAACATGCAAACACCAGGCAGGTGGTGCCATGGTTGGGATTCGAACCAGCGACTCCAGTACTGCCAGGCAGAAGTGCTAACCATTTAGCCACTGTGCTGCCCTTTGGTGTATTAATAAAAAAAAACTTCTCATAGCAAGTCACCTAGTAAAAGTGCATGTACATTTGTTTTGTGCAAAACAAGGAAAAAAAATATATATAATATTAAAAAACAACTGTCATGAGGCTATTTCCTTTGCTGGTCGAATGTCCTCTATTGATTTGAAATAAAAAAAAAAAATCAGACAGTTGACCATTAGATGGCACTGTTTTAAGATCCTATGATAGCACCACCTACTGGCCAAATATGATATTGTTTTCTATTTTTCATCATTGAAAAAATAATTGTTTTTTTTGCCCCATTTATTATTATTATTATTATTATACAGGATTTATGGCGCCAACAGTTTGCTCAGCACTTTACAATATAGGGAGGGATTAGAGGATTTACATAGAACAAACGTACACTTTAACTGGGCGAATTGCTATGATTTAACCCCTCCCCCTCCAATTTAACCCCCCCCCTTCCTGACCAAGCCACTTTTTTTTTGTGATACGGCGCTGCATTACTTTATCTGACAATTGCGCGGTCATGCAACGTTGTACATAAAATACATTTATGTCCTTTTTTTCCCCACAAATGGAGCTTTCCTATGCAGTCCATAGACGGTTCGTTAACCCCTCGCCTACCGGGCACTTATACCCCCTTCCTGCCCAGGCCAGTTTTCAGCTTTCAGCGCTGTCGCACTTTGATTGACAATTGCGCGGTCATGCAAGATTGTACCCATATGAAATTTTTAGCATTTTTTTCTCACAAATAGAGCTTTCTTTTGGTGGTATTTAATCACCGCTGGGCACTTTACCTTTTGCGCTATAAACAAAAAAAGTGCAAATATTTGAAAAAAAAAAGTTTCTTTGTTTCTATTATAACATTTTTCAAACAGGTAATTTTTGTCCTTCGCTGATGTGCGTTGATGAGGCGGCACTGATGGGCACTGATAGGGCGGCACTGATAGGCGGAACTAATGGGTACTGATAGGCAGCACTGAGATAGGCAGCACTGGTAGGCGGCACTGATAGGCAGCACTAATGAGTTGTCACAAATAGGCGGCACTGATAGACAGCACTGATAGGTGGCACTGACTGGCATCACTGCTGGGCACTGACTGGCGGCACTGCTAGGCATTGACTGGCGCAACTGCTGGGCACTGACTGGTGGCACTGACTGGCAGCACTGATGGGCACAGGTGGGTGGCTCTGGTGGGCACAGGTGGGTGGCTCTGGTGGGCACAGGTGGGTGGGCAAAGGTGGGTGGCACTGCTGGGCACAGGTGGATGGCACTGCTGGGCACAGGTGGGCGGAACTGGTGGGTGGCACTGGTGGGCACTGCTGGGCACAGGTGGGCGGAATTGGTGGGTGGCACTGCTGGGCACCGATGCCCAGTGCCCTGATGATCGGTGCCGATCCCTGCTCTGACAATTGCCGGTTCTCGGCAGTACGCAGTACGCTCGGCAGTACGCTCTGACAACGTGAGGAAAGTGCAGCCGAAAACCGGCAATTGCATTTCCCGGTGATTAGCGTGTCATTGGACACGGCTGATCACGTGGTAAAAGGCCGCTGTGATTGGCCTTTTACCACATCACGTGATCAGCTGTGTCTGTAGGACACAGCGATCACGGAGATCCCCGGGGGCGCGCAGGAGAGTGCGTTCTGGAAGGACGTCATATGACACCCTCCCAGAACTGGCCGGCCGCAGTGTAGCCGTCATTCGGCTATCTGCAGTTGGCAAGTAGTTAATCAGCCTAATTTTCATCCAAACAATAATCGGATGATATACGCACCGTTAGTGGGGCAATGTCATCGGCCGATTTTCACGGTTCCTCCTCATTTCTTTTATCGGTCGTGCTGGAAAATTTACAAAAAACAGCCGATTTTCGTAATGATTGGTGGCAACAGAACGACCGATTTTTCGGTTTTCAGCCCAAAATTTGTCCGATAAACAAACCGTCTGTGGCCTGCATTAGGCTAGGTTCACATCCGTGCGGGTGGTGCCACTGCGGATCCGCAGGAAAATCTGTGCAGCCGCACCACCCGCAAAGAGAAATGCCGACTCACGGGCGAGTACCATTAGTTCTAACGGCACGCCGCCCGCACTGGAAAACGCAACTGTACTGGAAACCGAGGTTCCCATGCGGACAGCGGCGGACTGACCATTTGGAAACTCGGGCACTGCCCGAGGGCCCGGGGTCAGTAGGGGGCCCCATGAGATGCCCCTGGTACCTTTTTCATAGGCTTTTTTTGAGTTTGGGCAAGGACACAGGGGCCCCATGATCCCCTATTACCCGGGGGCCCCATGAGTTGTCAATCCGCCTCTGCGTGCGGGCTGCGTTTGCAGAAGTGCAGGGACTTCTTCCCTGCGTGTCCCGGGGCAAATGAATGGGCTCTCGTGCCTGCGTAAAACGCGTCCCGCACGGCCACATAGATGTGAACCAGGGGTAACTGTGGTATTGGATCACCTTAATTTTTTGCACTATAAACAAAAAAAGACCAACAATTTTTTAAAAAAATTTAAATATTTTTGACTTTTTGCTATAAAACATGTCCAATAAAAAAAAAATAAAATAAAAAAATTTCTTCGCAAATTTAGGCCAAACTGCATTCTGCGCCGCGTCTTTGCTAAAATAAAAACCCAACAATTGTATATTAATTGGGTTACGTGAAAGTTATAGAGTCTACAAATGGCGGTACAGATAATGGAATTTTTTTTATTTTTAATGCTAGTAATGACGGCGATCAGCGTCTTCTAGCGGGACTGCATTCTGACACTGGGGGGGGGGACTGACTTGGTGTCACTGACATCTCCAGTGACACCATTACAGTGATCAGTGCTAAAAAAAAAAAGTTGTTTATGCGTTTAGAAGCGTTTTTTTTAAAGATAACCTCAGGAGACCCTCCCAAATGCCCAGAATGCACTGAAAAACATTAAAAAATTAACTATTTCAGACATTTTGAGAGGAATAGAGAGAGCAGAAGCAGAGAGAGCAGTATGTGTTGAGATTCGCTGTCTTTTCTGGTTGTAGTCACTATGGATCCCATCATAATGCGGCGCGTTCTACCATTTTTTTCCTTCACGCAAAACCTGGAACTGACTGCGCCGGTGTACCGGGTCCATTTGAATACATGGAATATGCATTGCGTGCATTTCTGATGATGAAAAAAAGGCTCCGGACAGCATCTGGATATTGAACAGTTAAAAAACGCTTCTAAACGCAAACACTTATAAACGCGGTTAACCGCGTTTACGCGCGTTTGGAACGCCATTAAAACCTACTCCTGAAGGCAAGTTTGGTGCGTTCAAAAAAACGACTTTAACCTCTTCACGCCGGCCGAACGCAAATGTGCGGCCTCCCGACATCTGGGCCTAGACGCCGAGCGGCCGCACATTTGCGTTCTATTAAAAAAAAGACATATGTGCTGAGAGCGCGCGCCCTGCCCGCTTCCAGCACACATGTCCGGTACTCACGGAAAGGTCCCGATCTCCTCTTTCGATCGGGACCTTTCCCGATCATGTGATGGCGTGTCACGGTGGTCACATGACCCTAAACCCTGTCCCGCCTCCTGAAACCCTTAAAGGGCCGGCAAGTGCCGGCAACAAGGGGTTAAACTCAACTGCCTGTAAATGATGATGTGTACACGGACACGTAGGAAGGCATTAGGGAGGGTTCAGGGGCTGCCGAAAAAAAAACGCAGAAAAGCTCCTGAACGTGCGTTTATCAGCTGCAGTGTACATGAGCCCTTATTGCACGCCCTGATGTGTTTCCATTGATTTCAATGGGAAATGCATCATGCAAAAAAGTGCGAAGGTGCAAATCCAGCCGCGGGGCCCATTCACACCACATGCGTTGGGCTGAGCTGGGCGGCCTTCACCAGGCATAGACGATCCAATTGGCTCAGAGTCCTTGGAGTTCAGTTCTCATCACTAAAGTGCCGCGGTGCGCGCTGAGGAAATGCGGGGCATGCGTTCATTTCTTTTTTTTGTTTGGAAAGTATTGAGATGCAACCCACTGCAGAGAAGAAAGAGGAATGAAATGTCATTATTTGACATTTCAATAAAAGGAAACAAAAAGAAAACAATGAAATGCGTCATTTCCAACGCATCGCCGCTGCTCCTTTCCCGGTATAACACGCCCCCCTCCCCCGGGTGTGAAGGAGCTCTTACAGTTGGAGTGTGATCCCCGTCCTTGCCTTCCATGGATTGGTTGTCCAGCCTGTAGGATGGTACTATCAGCCGATTCTGAATGATGTGTTGAGACGCATATATGAGAATCTAAACGCAGAGATCCGTGCGATGGGCAACGTAAGACCTGGCCTGGTGAAGTCAACACTCTGCAGACGGGTTACTATGTAAGAAGCTTCCTACAGCCATGAGTCAGGGAGAAATATAAATCCCTTTCATCTTCTGGGTGACACTTTGTAGGCCCACGGAGGTACCCAACCCTTAGATTGCTGACCCCTGATATAAACCAAACTCCCCCCCCCCCCCCTCGACAACCCAACCGCTGCTAAACAAAGCAGGGAGGAGAAAAAAATATTCTTTTTGTATTCTTATCTGATTTAAATACAACACACTAAGGCAGTGATGGTCAACTTTCTTGATGTGGGGGGTAAGGGTGGGAGAGGGGGCTCAGTTGCATCCCCTGACATCACCAAAGGGCTGTACATAAAATTCAGTGAATATTCAATGTCAGAGACTCAACAGGATATAGCAAACACACAATGGGTATGGTACAAGAGATGGTCAGAGACTGTAGACATGATACAGGCGATGGTGCAGACATACTACAGGAGATGGTCAGAGACTGCAGACATGACACAGGAGATGGTCAGAGACTGCAGACATGACACAGGAGATGGTCAGAGACTGCAGACCTGACACAGGAGTTGGTCAGAGGTTGGTGGACATAATACCAGAGAAGATCAAAGACTGCAGACATGATACAAGAGATGGTCAGAGACTGCAGACATGATACAAGAGATGGTCAAAGACTGCAGACATGATACAGGAGATGGTCAGAGACTGCAGACACGATACAAGAGATGGTCAGAGACTGCAGACACGATACAGGAGATGGTCAGAGACTGCAGACATGATACAGGAGATGGTCAGAGACTGCAGACATGATACAGGAGATGGTCAGAGACTGCAGACATGGTACAGGAGATGGTCAGAGACTGCAGACAGGATACAAGAGACGGTCAGAGACTGCAGACAGGATACAGGAGATGGTCAGAGACTGCAGACAGGATACAAGAGATGGTCCGAGACTGCAGACACGATCCAAGAGATGGTCAGAGACTGCAGACAGGAGATGGTCCGAGACTGCAGACACGATCCAAGAGATGGTCAGAGACTGCAGACATGATACAAGAGATGGTCAGAGACTGCAGACATGATACAAGAGATGGTCAGAGACTGCAGACATGATCAAGAGACATGATCAAGAGACTGCAGACATGATACAAGAGATGGTCAGAGACTGCAGACATGATACAGGAGATGGTCAGAGACTGCAGACATGATACAAGAGATGGTCAGAGACTGCAGACATGATACAAGAGATGGTCAGAGACTGCAGACATGATACAGGAGATGGTCAGAGACTGCAGACATGATACAGGAGATGGTCAGAGGTCGGTGGACATAATACCAGAGATGGTCAAAGACTGCAGACCTGAAACAAGAGAATGGTCAGAGGTTGGTGGACATGATACAATAGATGACCAGAGACTGTAGACATTATACAACTGGCAGGTGGAACTGTTGGGGCTACACTGATCATCAGTGCCCTGATGATCAGTGTAGATGTCCCCTCTGAGGAATGCTGATTACCGGCTCTCCTCTCCTCTCCTCATGAGCTGCCAGGTCGTGATATCCTCCCAGAACGAGAGAACCGCCTTGCGCCCATCATTTCCTTACATGGCGGGTGGGAGGCGGTTAAGGCTCCATGCACACAAGCGCTTTTTATATGCTCAAAAAAACACTAGAAAAAAAGCCGGACGCAAAACGCTGATAACAGCATTTTTGTGTTGCATTGTAGTAGCATTTTAGTGGCGGTTAGGAGCGTTTAGGAGTGTTAGCGTTTTATTAGTGTTTTTACAGTACATAGAGAATACAAAAGCTAGAAAAAAGCTGCTGGGAGTGTTTTAGTTGCTTTTAGGAGTGTTAAGTAGCATTTAAGAGAGTTCAGCATTTTTTTTTGCCTGAAAATGCTCCCCAAAACAATTTTTTTGGACTCCTAAATGCTGAAGCTTGAAAAATGCTACTAGCCTAAAATAGCATGCATGGACACATAGGATAACATTACTTAGCTTCTAGGAGCAGAAAAAAATGCTAGTGTGTATGGAGCTAAATGAAGAGTTTGGTGTAGAGGAACGTGAGTAGCCTGCACAAAGACCTGAGGTCTGGTATGGAGGAAATCAAGTGGCCTGACAAGAGACCTGAAGTTTGGTATGGAGTTAATCAAGTGTCCTCCACAAAATTTGAAGTTTGGTATGGAGTTAATCAAGTGTCCTCCACAAAATTTGAAGTTTGGTATGGTGTTAATCAAGTGTCCTCCACAAAATTTGAAGTTTGGTATGGAAGAACTCAAGTGGCTTCCACAAAGAACTGGGGTTTGGTATGAAGGATCTCAAGTGGCCTGCACAAAGACCTGAGGTTTGGTATGAAGAAACTCCAGTGGCCTGCACAGAGAACTGAGTTTTGGCAAGGTGGAACTCAAGGGGTCTTCACAAGAACTTAGGTTTGGTATGGAGAAATTCAAGTGGCCCACATAAAGACTTGAGGTTGGTATGGAGGAACTCAAGTGACCTGTACAAAGAACTGAGGTTTGGCATGGAGGAAATCAAGTGGCCTACATAAATACCCGAGGCTTGGCATGCAGAAATCAAGTGGTCTACCGGAAAACCTAAGGTTTGGTATGGAGGAACTCAAATAGCCTGCACAAAGACCTGAAGTTTGGTATGAAGGAAATCAAGTGGTCTGCACAAAGACCTGAGGTTTGGTATATAGGTAAAAAAGTGGTCTGCGTAAAGAACTTAAGTTTGGTATGGGGAAATTCAAGTGACCTGGACAAAGACCTGAGATCTGGTATAAAGTAACTAAAATGGCCTGCAAAAAGATCTGAAGTTTGGTATGGAGGAACTCAAGTGGCCTGCATAAAGACCTGAGGTTTGGGATGCAGAAATCAAGTGGCCTACCCAAAAACCTAAGGTTTAGTATGGAGGAACTCAAGTGGCCTGTACAAAGAACTGAGGTTTGGTATGTAGAAAATCAAGTGGCCTACATAAAGACCTGAGGTTTGGCATGCAGAAATCAAGTGGCTTACCGAAAAAACCTAAGGTTTGGTATGGAGGAACTCAAACGGCTTGCACAAAGAACTGAGGTTTGGTATGGAGGAAATCAAGTGGTCTGCACAAAGACCTGAGGTTTGGTATATAGGTAAAAAAGTGATCTGCGTAAAGAACTTAGGTTTGGTATGGGGAAATTCAAGTGGCCCATATAAAGACCTGAGGATTGGTATGGAGGAACTCAAGTAACCTGGACAAAGACCTGAGGTCTGGTATAAAGTAACTAAAATGGCCTGCAAAAAGACCTGACGTTTGGTATGGAGGAACTCAAGTGGCCTACATAAAGACCTGAGGTTTGGCATGCAGAAATCAAGTGGCCAACCGGAAAACCTAAGGTTTGGTAGGGAGGAACTCAAGTGGCCTACATAAAGACCCGAGGTTTGGCATGCAGAAATCAAGTGGCGAACCGAAAAAAACCTAAGGTTTGGTATGGAGGAACTCAAGCGGCTTGCACAAAGAACTGAGGTTTGGTATGGGGGAAATCAAGTGGTTTGCACAAAGAACTGAGGTTTGGTATGGTGGCACTCAAGTGGCATGCACAAAGACCTGAAGTTTGATATGGAGGAAATCGAGTGGCCTACACAAAAGACTAAAGTTTTGGTATGAAGGAAATCAAGTTGCTTGCACAGAGCTCTGACCTCAACTCCACTGAAAACGTTTGGGTCATCCATCATGAATATCTGGCCTCACAAATGGGTACAAATTCCCACAGACACACTCCAAAATCTGTTGGAAACAGAGTAGAGTAGAGGATGTTATGGCGGTAAACAGGGGCCAAATCCATGTAATAGCCATGGCTCTGGAATGGGATGGCCTACAAGTCTTAGAGATGATGTGATATCCACATATTTTGTCCATAGAGTGAAAATCCAGTCCATACAGCCCTCCAAGCCAGGTGCAAATACAATTCTGGCAGATGACACTATTTCCATAATAAAATTCTTGACAATGGGGTCATAACTGCGATTCCGGCGGTGAGTTTGCTAGACAAACCACTGATTAATAAGTGATCAGGGCTGGTAAGCTCTGACCACATTCACCAATGAGTAACAATCTGTGGCTTTTCTTCTCAAAATAAATCATATCTGTGAAATTAGACGTGAACCCCAGCTAGATGACAGTGTGCTTGCTCTAAGGACTTTGCCCTTTGGTCTACAGCGTTCTGCTACTTGATATCTGTTCCTGTGCTTGATCTCCTGATGCCATCCTGATCCCTCTGAACACACTTGAACTCTGCCTGAAATCACCTCTGGCTTGCTTTTGACCACGTCTCTGCCTGATCCTTCTCTCTGTTTGTTTTCCATTGCCAACTCCAGCCTCAACCTGGCTACTCTTCGGCCCACTGCTCTGTTCCTGATGTGCCTGCTAGTGTCTAACCTGACTTTCCTGACCCTGCTCTGTGTCCAGCCTGTAGTGGTCATCCTTACTCCAGCAGCCTGCCAAGCATCTGCTGTCCGTAGCCTATCGGCCTGTCAAGGGCCTGCTGCCTGTGACCTGCCAGTCTGCCGGGTGCCTGCTGCCTATGAACTGCCAGCCTGCCAAGTGCCTGCTGCCTGTGACCTGCCAGCCTGCCAAGTGCCTGCTGCCTGTGACCTGCCAGCCTGTCAGGTGCCTGCTGCCTATGAACTGCCAGCCTGCCAAGTGCCTGCTGCCTGTGACCTGCCAGCCTGACAAGTGCCTGCTGCCTGTGACCTGCCAGCCTGTCAGGTGCCTGCTGCCTGTGACCTGCCAGCCTGCCAAGTGCCTGCTGCCTGTGACCTGCCAGCCTGCCGGGTGCCTGCTGCCTGTGACCTGCCAGCCTGACAAGTGCCTGCCGCCTGTGACCTGCCAGCCTGCCAAGTGCCTGCCGCCTGTGACCTGCCAGCCTGACAAGTGCCTGCCGCCTGTGACCTGCCAGCCTGACAAGTGCCTGCCGCCTGTGACCTGCCAGCCTGACAAGTGCCTGCTGCCTGTGACCTGCCAGGTGCCTGCTGCCTGTGACCTACCAGCCTGTCAATTGCCTGCTGCCTGTGACCTTGCAAGTGCCTGCTACCTGTGACCTGCCAGCCTGTCAATTGTCTGCTGATTGTCTACCAGCCTACTGTACCTGCTGCCCTCCCGATTCAGCCTGCATCGAGTGCACTCAGACTTCTCATCTGCAGCATCATCACCAGAACTACCAGGCACTCGTGCTCCTGTCACTTTACCAGGGGTACCGAGCCGGAGGTGTAAGAGCCTTCCTCTCCCTGTCAGGCTCCATCACCAGGTACATGCTATGATGTCACTATTAGGCTGCTCACTGTTCTCCTTGCTGGAGAGGAAGCTGTACCTAAGAACATGCAGTGCAGGGATCGCTCTGCTTCATCCTTCTGTGAATCTTGGGTTTTCATAATGTACCCCCCCCCCCCCCCCCCCCCCCCCCCCCCCCCCCCCCCCCCCCCCCCCCCCCCCCCCCCCCCCCCCCCCCCCCCCCCCCCCCCCCCCCCCCCCCCCCCCCCCCCCCCCCCCCCCCCCCCCCCCCCCCCCCCCCCCCCCCCCCCCCCCCCCCCCCCCCCCCCCCCCCCCCCCCCCCCCCCCCCCCCCCCCCCCCCCCCCCCCCCCCCCCCCCCCCCCCCCCCCCCCCCCCCCCCCCCCCC